TATAGGAAATTCAATTGACTGAAAATGTGTTTTCTTCGTTTTTCCTATTGCTAAAAAGAGAATAGACAACTATGAATGGGAAAAAAACCCCAAAACCTGTAATTTCATTTATTTTAACTTATATACAAATACTAAGGCAAAATTATTACTATGTTGTGCACCATTTTTTTCTGGATTGTTTGAAATAGTTTTACTCTCTATCTGTGTGAGTATGTGCTTGTGTGTGTGTTCCCAGCAGCAGAGCCAGGACATTGTAAAGAGAGAGAGAGACAGAGAGAGCAAAGGAGGGCTAGGGTAATGTGAATAGTTTATTAAATGAGTAGCATGTACTTATTTTCAGTGGATATAGTAGGAACGTATTCGCTTGTCTATTCTCTCCTCCATCTAGAACAATTTAGACATGTTAGATAGCTTGCGAAACTGCAGTATGTTTTGCATTTTCCAAACAATTATTTAAGTCACTGTTTGACCTAAGCAGTATATCTCCCTACCCCTCACTGCAACTAAGCTTTTAAAAGCAAATACATAAAACAACCTATAACCTATAATATCTCCACTCAATTCTTTAAATTAGTATAACAGTTGAAAACATTTTATCAGCTAATTTATTTTTAAGATAGAGAACAATAGTTCCCCCTCCTTTTTTTTTTTTTTTTTGTCTTGGCTTCAGCAAGTAAGAACATGCTGCTTCCCATGGTTTAGGAAAGAGGTTTAAAGATTGTTAAACATAATTAGAAGGTTATCATATAACACACACAAACAAAACATCCTGAAATCTGGCAGCAACATGGTCTTTTTACACTGATAGTTAAGATATTTCCTTTGAGTTGAACTTGGTACCCTGTGACTTCATGGCTGTATCCATGTGGTTTCCCTGGCAAAATACAGTAGTAATTTGCAATTGCCTCCTGGGATTTTTTTTCAACTTTTTAATATAATAATTCTGGTAGTATCTGGTGATCTCCCATTCAAGGACTAAGCAGGGCCCACTGTTTAGCTTCAAGCCTCAGAAAGGATAGATCAAATACTGCCACCTACTGAGATAATCAGAAGTTTACTGACTGACAGATGTCCATCAGATCTTAAGAGGTACCATTTAAGCCAGTTTGGGTAGTATTACCTACTGGTCGGAGAAAATAAAATCTCTGCTGAGTCAGAACTCCTACCGACTTCATGCTTATGTTCATCTAGTTTATTGACAGCAAAATAGGAACAGTTTGGCCTTGCCTTCTTTGGGGAGTTTTTAAATACTTTCTAGTCTAGCCTACAGCCTTGGAGTTTCCTGGTGTCTCCCAGCCAAATGCTAATAAAATCTTATCCTTTTTAGCTTTCTGAGATCAGCCAGTTTCAGCTAGACGCTGCTACCTAGCTCAGTGTTTCTCAACCTTGGCAACTTGAAGATGTGTGGACTTCAACTCCAGAATTCCTGAACCAGCTGGGGAATTCTGGGAGTTGAAGTCCACACATCTTCAAGTTGCCAGAGTTAAGAAATACTGAGCTAGAAGATCCTGTTCTATATTTCTAAAATGGGATCAAGGTGATAGTCTTTCAGCAGTGATACTTTAATAGCACCCCTGAAGAATGGCTATATGAATAACCAAGAGAATTCAATTATTCTTAACCACTTGATTGTTGAACCTCTTTTCAGCAATTATATAACAAATTGGAAATGAAGTACAGATTTGCAACCTTTAGGACAAAAGGTTTAGAATGTGATACTGCGTTAACATTCCTGTAAATATTCTATTTAGTTCATGCATCTTTTATAGATTCGGGCATCTAATCTCAGTGGAGATTGTTCTCTCATAAATGAAATGATGCGGTTTAGATTTGGACTGAAGCAGCATCAACAGGTAAGTTAATAATGATCTGTAAAAGAAGAGATTTGGTTCACAAACTGTCTTCCTTGGAGTAGTTTCTTCTGTAATTTGAGGCTCTGCAAACCTAAAAAAAAAAAAAAAAAATCTTACAAAGAAATGTAGTACCAATGAGAAAAATAAGAGACCACTTTTTTGTCTCCCTCATTATGCTGCTTCTTTTTATGTATGAGGTTGCATGAAATAATGCCTCCAGCTCCATAACTTTAGTTGAAGAGCGTTGTTGAAATAGATGGAACAGGAAAATAACCCTCAAAATAAGCTGTTTTGTTACCTGAATTTATTTCTGCACACAATCACATTCTCTGAACGCTTTTGTCAATGATGGACAAGCTTCTTAAAGCCTTCTTAAAGCATGAAAGAACTCCAGCCTTTGGTTCTTCTGTCAGCTCCTCACATATGCCTACAAAGGATCCCTTCAGTTTTGGGAAAAGGTAGAAGTCGCATGGCACCAAGTCTGGCCTGAGTGATGGATGGGGTAAGACAGTGAGATCCACTTTCACAAGTGCCTCTTGGGTGACTCATGTGGCATGAAGCCTAGCATTGTTTCGTTGAGTCAAAAGTTCCTTCTTCTGCTTCCATACTCTGCTTAATCGTTTTTTCAAAGTGGCAAAGGTGGAGGAAGTAGAAAGGATTATCGGGACCTGGTTGAAGACACAAAACGTGAAGTCCTTTTGTGATGGCTTTTAACAACTTGTCCATTGGCAGAAGGGTGTAGTGAATGGTAGTGATTATATGGAGAAGTAAATACAGGTGATAAAATAACTTTCAAGGATTTTTTTGGTTTTATTTATTAAAATATTCCTATTTAATCTGAAGTTATGGAGCTGGAGGCATTACTTTTCATTCATCTAAATCTAAAAGAATAGAGTTTAAGGGCGAGAAACCTACTGTTCATTGGCCAGGTTGCTTATGA